AGAGGATGATCCGAAGACATGCTTTTCAAATTATGATAACAGATTTTGCCATGTAAAAGTTTCCAAAATATTGCGGCTGAAAGAAAAATTCTTTACGTATGATTAGTGCAGAAGCAATTCCATTATTTTGATCAACCCAATATTTACTGAAACTGTTTTAAGAAATTGACAGCTCAGTGCTGGGCGTAAACAACAGTTAATATTCTTTACTTTTCGGGTGCATGCATAAATAAGTTTTGAATTAAACATAGAAAAATCAAACTTACCTTGCTATTCTATTTTCATTAAAAAAAATATTAACAATAAAATAGTAATTTTTCCGGCAGCATATCACAATTCAAATAATGCTCCTTAATTTATTGTTGGCACTTCAATGAAAAGGAACTCGACATTTTACTTTAATGTATATCCTTTTCAAGGATAATGATTATTGGACATCATTTGAACTTTATTTGCAGAGATATCTGATTTGAGGATGAATATTTATGAGGAAGGCGGATCTTTTCTTGAATTGCAGAGAACAAAAGACTGGTATTTGTTGGCGTTCGATTTTTTCCAAAAAAAGGAATTGCACCTGTTGACCCACATTTTCTGGGTCAAACACAATTTGGACAGAAATAAATTATTGATGTGACGTTCTCCTTGAAAATTGGATTCTGATTGAAACTAATAAAACAATTTAATCAACCGTTTTTTCATTAATGCTAAACTTTTTTTCTAATTTAATATAATCGAAAAGACTTATTGTTAAACATTGACAAGTCAGAAAAATTTATGAATCTGCAAAGTTCGTTTTATTTATTTTGTTATTTTATCTTTCTATTTAGTGAACGTAAAATAAACTGAGATAATTTGTACGAAATATTATAATAAAAAAATAGCATTAAGTGATAGTTGTTAATGTTTAAGAGTTTAAAGATGTGTATACAATCAAATTTCTTGGTTTTAATGGATATTGAAAAGAGTAAAAATTTAAAATACAATATGACGAATATATTCAGATAGTGCTAATCTGTTTTACGGTTGTTTTCATGTACTATGATAAAATAAAAATAAAAAATGATGGGAAA